TCAGGCTAGACCCTAACCCATAGTTTGAAGCCAAGAGCCTCAGTCCTTCATGTCAAGTTCCTCCTCTGATCTCTATTTTAATATCTATCATTGGGGCAGAAGCGGAATGAAATAAAACTTGCACACAACATCACACCTTCCTACAGCAAGAGACCAAGCAAGAAATCAAGAAATTCTCATGTAGTTAAAGATGAATTAAAAGTATATCCCTACCCTGTGTGTGCACCTGTGTCTGCACACACAGAAGTACCCACCTGGACAAGGGTATTTGTGGAGAAACAAGTTTCTTCACCTCACTTCCCCAGGATGTGCTAACAGGAAACACATTCACTTTCACATCTATTACAAATATTTTTTTTTAAAAAAGTCATCAAAATATTTCTGAAGAAACGTAGCCAAAGGATAAAAACATGGTAAGCATGAATCAAAATGCAGATCTCAAGCTTTCCTTTAATTTGCCCAGGTATTATTTAAGCTATGGGATTCACCCATCAACAGATGTCCAAGTATAAAGACTGTGCTTTATTTACAAAATAGAGCTCCTAAACAAGAACCATAGTTATTAAATTTGAACGAGTTTCATTCAAATGCCAAATGAATTAAACATCTGCATTTTTATTTAGAGGTGTTTACATAATTCATTTTGCAGCTTAAATATACATAGATATTTCCCCCATCTTTTCCCATCTGCTTTTTGTCATGAAAAAACTCCCAAAATGGTCCTCATGAAAATTTGTCCTTGTGAAAAATTAAGAAACCTACGAAAGCACTATTCAAAGAAATACACTTAAGTAACACACTTAATAAAACAAATCAACCCATACATGACTTTTACTTATCTGTCTTCAACTGCAATGGCTGCCAATAATGAAAATGCTAACAAAACCTTTTCTTAACCACCAACCAGAAGTACATACCTAGCACTAGTAAGATTTTGTTCCAGATGTGTCATATGCAAACACCAACCCCAGGTCACTCAAGCACAAGAGAAGATGCTCATCACTTCAGAAATGTGCCCCCTTCCCAAGAAATGAGAAGAGGAGAAATAATTTTTACAAAAACATTTATTTTCCCCTTGAAGGTAGAACTAGAAAGCAGCAACCCGCAACCCTCTGTCTGGAGGCCATGCTGTTCACCTGCAAAGCGACCGAGGTGACAGTCAAGGCACTGAGAACCCAGCCCAACTAGCTGTGTTTCTGGGGGTCTCAGGACCCAAAGCGCAGGGAGGAGGCCAGGCGGGCAGCCCGTGCCAATCCCACAGCTTCCTGCTCTTTCACAATGATTTCTTATGATGTGCTGTATGAGCTCCATTTCCCACTTTTCTGTCTTATTCTCAATTAAAAAGAG